CAACGCTCGGATCTAGCGATTCGCTAGCGAATCGCTCGATTCGCAAACTATGACATCGGCCCTAAGCTTAGTCGCTTAGAGGAGGGTAAACCACGCACTCTAAGGCAAAATTCGAAGAGTGTGAGATCACGGGTCAGCGGCTCACTCATTCTGTAGCCATTCACCATTCAAAGGCCTAGTCCTGATTGCGATCCAGTGGCCGGACGCATAGTCGGTCGGACGACAGCAACGACCGCAAGGTGTCGCATAAACCGCGGTTGCAAATGGAAGGCGACGCGGTCACCCAATGCTAACCCAGACAACACGTGACTGCGCGTGATCGTATTTCGAAAGTCCCACTGTAGTGTGGAATAGTAGCTGCGTATTGATCTGCGACACTTGCGGTCGTTGCTGTCGTCCGACAGCAGCGGTCGTAAGTGTCGCAAGTGTCGCAGATCGATACGCACCCAATGCTGTGCGACACTTGCAGTCGTTGCTGTCGTCCGACCGACTATGCGTCCGGCCATAGTGCGAAGGCGCAGACGAGCAGGAAATAGACGCCGAATAGCGACAACGACAAAAACGAATGTCATATTCGTAATCAGGGCCCAAATAACCCCTATACAGAAGTTTACAGCGAATTTGGTGAGAATCAGTCGTGGCGCCACTGGCGCCAAATGGCGCCAATTTGGCGCCAGCGCCAAAAATGGATGTCATATTCGTGATCAGGGCCCATAGGGGAAGTTTCAGCGAAAGTTTATTTTTTGACCCATCTCACCCGCACTGATCGTGAGGTTGTAATAGTGCAATAGTGCCAAACCATTTATAATTTGCCATTCCATTCCTTTCATTAGTGAGTCGCTTATTGGTTCGTTTCTGAAGAACTTCGGGACTCATCGAAATCGTTTGTTATTTTAGGTTGTCATGACAGGCGGCACTGCCTCTGTAGAAATGGCAGTGTTTTGCTTTGACGTGATAGCAGCCGCCGTCAACAACCACTCCGATCCACCTGTGCCACCCTCCATACCCAATGATAAGTTGTAAGTTTTACTGGTAGTGATTTCTTATTTTGGCAGCTTATTTTTTTACTTATTTCCCCATCTGCTACGTTCGCAAAATACCTTGAGTTTTGTTCGGGAGGATGTTTGCATGGTGACATGTGGAAATATACGACATTAGTTGTGGGTTAGAGTCTCAACTCGTAAATCTCGATCACGCCCGAAGCAGAATATCAATATTTGCCAACATCACGAACTTTCTGTAGGTGTGGGATTTTGTTGGGGCTGGTGTCAGAGTCCGCGATCCGCTTCGCGATTTTCGCGATTTGCGCGACGGGTCACGGAAATCACAAGTGCCCGATCAATACTGCAAGGTGTTCTCCAATCCGCCGTCACTTCTGCTTGATGGTGATGGCTGAATGACGACTGCTCATGATTCCACTTGTTTCATATTCAGTGTTTCAAATGTTCAAATGGGGCACTTGCAATTTTTGTGATCCGCGCGAAGCCTGCGACGTATCAGAGGAATCGAAAGTGCCCCCATCACCCCCCCTACTTTTTTCACGTTTTATGGGCGCCGCGGCGAGCACGGCCGAGCCGGTAGCGCCCGCGAAGTGTGCGGGAAATTTGAAAATGTTCCAGCACAGTTCGCGGGCGCCTTGTGTGTGTTGTGCCTTGTGTACTCCTGTGATCCATCGCAGGTTTCGCGCAAATCGCGAAAATCGCGGAGAGCGGATCGCGGACTCTGACACCAGCCTTGGTAAGACTTCAGAACATGCAGTACAATGGATGAAATGAGAAGAAATAGGAATGAAAAATGTAAACGAATCGTACGGATACGAAAATTGTAGTAGCTTGCTCGAGAAGGGGTTGAAATAAAGATGGAGGGAGGTGCTCGTTTTCATGGTTTCTATAGCATGACATTTTATACTAGAGGTTTTGGATTTCCAATATTAAAAGTCTTCTCAGAACGCGAAATTTTATGACTTCATTAGTTCGCCCCCGCGAATCGCTAGTAGCGATTCGCGCGATTCGCAAAGTCTGACATCGGTCTAGGTCTTCGGAGTGGCTGGCATATCACCGTTTGTAGCAAATGAATTGTTTTGACAACTTGAATATGTCAATGTTCTTGTGTCCACTGGATGTCTGTAATACAATGCGAGCCTCGAGCGTTGCTTATTTTAATCAGATACAGTAGTTGAAATATTGGGTTAATTCGTTTTTTTTTCTGTTGAAAATTGTTTGGATTACAAAGGAGCATTCGATATGCAAATCGAAGCCATGGCGATATACATAGAATTCAAGAAAGAAATAGGTAAATATTCACCATAAGAGCATCTATCTCCGGAAGTTACTGTATCTAATAAAATCGTATGGCCAATTTCAATATACAACATGTAGGTAGTGCAGCGAAACCTGCGACTGCGCGGGACTAACGCTAGGGAGAAGAAGAAAGAAGTAGTGATGACATGTCATAGCATATGTATGTATGTGGTAGTATGTAGTCCTGCACTATATGATCATAATACTTTGGCCAGTAGAATGGAGAATATTGAGGAATAGTTTTGGACCTTGATGTATAATCTACCACACTGAATACTATTTTATGATGATATTGTTCTAAACGTGACCAGGGAGCTATCATTTTCATCGTGCCTCACTAGTCATTCGTTCTCTAATCTTTGCAGTATTAATTTTTGAAATATCGGTTTTGTGGTTGCTAGTGCAGTACAAAATCTGAAAAAAAAATGTGCTCGCTTCAATCATCTCCCTCTCCAATGTTGCTCAAAAGGGACTCTTATTATTTATACTAACTGGACATTTGGGCGCTTACTATTACTTGATATGAATCGCACGGCAGACAACAACAACTTTTATAGTAGCAATTTTTTTCAAAATTATTTTCGTGGAAGTTTTTGTGTAAACAATGACATTCCAGCCCTCTCTTCGTGACTTGGAAAAAAGGAAGCCATCGACGTTTAAGAGGTTGTATAGGGACATTTTCACAATTACAGTGAGTTTTATTGCTTTTATTTTAAAATTGGAGTTTATCATAAGGATGTACATGCTTTATTGCCAAAATCTCTCCCTACCTCTTCTTCGGGACTTCTCGCATCCTCGTTCTTGTACGGCCGTGTTCAACGAACCTTGACCACAATCACATCCGAGCGTCAGCAAAAAGCAACAGTCAATTCAGCAGGTGAAACTAAGTTACCGGATTCTCACTCACAGACCAACTTTCGCTGATGGCAAGCACGCCCGACCATGAGCAGGAGGGGTCTCTTCTAAAATCTGGGAAGACGGTCAATTCAATCGTCGGCTAATGAGGTCACGCCGCTCACGCGGCGAGAATCGTCGCGCGCGGCAGTTGGTGCGGCGATTTCTGTGTGGACCTTTTCTTATCCATCCATGTCCATAAGTTGGCTAGGTGACTGATAAGACCAGAGTGCTGGACATCAGTAAGCCAGCAAGCGTCACTGTAAGATCCCTGCAGTGATTTAAGCCTCACAGTACAAACTTGTACCATGTAAAGGTTGTCCTTTTGAATTTAATTTGACTTCTTTATTAATCAGCTTCCTGAATTTCTATCAGAGAGTGATAATCTGGTTCAATCGGAAAGAATATTGCGTATCAAGACACAGAGTAACGGTGAGGAAGGCTCTAACATAAGCATGATATGATAAGTATGTAATAATGGCGAGCGAAAACGAAACTGCATTTTAAAGGGTTAAGGTGGTTCCTATTTCATGTTTCATGAAGGGAAACATCATCTAATCTTACATTCCCCAATGTTTGGATGCTGAGTTCTTTGCAAATTCGCCGCGATATCGCTGGCTGCGGCGGCTGGCGCGGCGACCTATTTACTGCCACGATTGAATCGTCACGCACCCTGAAATCTGTGTTGAAATGAGCTTATTCGTCAACTTCAACCGTAGGTGTTGTGCGGGTACCGGAAGTTCGCAAAACTTTTATGAATTTTCGGCACTTGTAATTCAAATTGGCCTTTACTTCAACACATTCACGCCGATGGCCGCCCATATGGGCTGCCAACAACATGCGCTCCTGGGACGATGGCAGCCCCAGCCCATATGGGCTGCCAACTGATAATCGCTTGCCAGGCGCTAGGAATGGACAGATAGGTGGGCAAACCTCGTAATCGAGTGTAAAATGCTTTTAAATTCCTTCACGGGGAAAGTGAATAAATGCTCTCTTTTCGTAACCACTATTTGTCGTTCTGATCGAAATCCTACTGTTATATGTTTAGATAATCTTTACGCATTGGACATTGCAGAAATTATTTTGTGACATTCATGTTTTTGTTCATTTACAAAACAAAATCTGCGGTTAGTGAGGCAGCGGCGCCCACAAAATCGCCAAAAATTGCTGAGCCTGCGTTTCTCGCTAAACGCCGTCTTATGAAAAGCACGACGGCGGCGAAGAGCTCTTCTGCGCAGATTCCGATGCAGGGTGAATATCGCTTGAGGATTCCTTCAACGGCACGTCGAGGATTTTTGCCCTGATCAGACACGATCTCTCGCGCGGACATTCACACTCGCCATGCGCGTGCCGTCTGTGCTCTCCGCGCGGATGTTCACTCTCGGCACTACTCTCGCATGGTAGAGAGCTATGGTCGAGGAATTCCTCGACCGTTATTCACCCTGTTCCCATGGCGTCTGAAGTCAACAGGAAAACGAGGCATCAATACCGACTCCTCCTGCATCTCAGTGAGCATTTTTCGTGAAGCCGAGAGGGTGTGTGTTAGTGCTTGGTCTTATCGTATACATCAGTTACGAGGATTACGTAAATGTTACCTTCTTGGCATCCTCTTCTCTGCAATGCTGGTTGCATGGTGAACGAAATTTTCTCAGTGCCAAAGGCTTCCTCACCGCATAGTTAGTTTAGAAGATTGATGCTGATGTGCAGTGGGGGGGGGGCAATAAAACAAGCATTTTGTCTGCACATCCAAATGGGAATGATCACATCTTGATAAATTAAAACCAAATGCTCCCAAGTGATGATTGAAGAGCACATCTATTTCATAAGAAAAACCCTTAAAGGCTTCCTACGCAGGCGATAGAAGAACCTGCTTTGGAAACATGGGTGCAGATCAAGCTCAATAGGGTGCAGGATCTCGCAGCAAAAACTCAGCGCGAGTGTGTGCACGGACGCTCGATGGGTGCACACAGAGTCAACCGTGCGTTGCGCAGTTCGCAACGGCACGTTGAGAGATCCTCAACGCACGCTGTATGGGCGGAGACACAGACGGCTCGAGCATGCGAGTGTGAATGTTCGCGCGAGAGAACGTGTCTAATCGGGCGAAACTGCGCAACGTGGCCGTTGAGAACTGCGCAACGCAGGGTTGACTCTGGGTGCACATATTCGCACGTAATATTTCACACACCTGCTGGTCCACTCACCCGCACGCCCCGAATCGGTCGAGTGTGACCAATGCAAGAATAACTAAGTGGTTGACGGCACCACAGTGCCCCTTCCATTACTGAAATGGTATCGTCGCAGTGGTTGTTCGCGATAGGTAGAGGTCCTTCTTACCATTAGATGAATCACGAAATCGGCGTGCAGTTTCATGATAACGCATTCACGCTTCCAAAGACTCGGTTTGCTTGCGAGCCCGTGTTAATAATATCTGAGGGTTGGAATGGTGAACATTTTAGTCTTTGCCATAGCACAGATGTAAAAAGGATCTGAAACTGATTCGTTCGCTGATTACTTTATGTTTGCTGAAGCTTCCTGTTACAATTTTACTTTGATAACTTGCATTTTTAGCTTACACACGGGTCTACGAGATTATGCTATTACTAGTGCGTTTCATGATTCGCGTTTTGATCCTGTTCGAAAAGAAGAAATTCCACATCTTCATTGTGGTGTAAGTGTGGTTTGGAAATTACCCTTATTCTTTATCCGTAATAGGAATTATTGGGAAGACATTAATGAATATCAGTGGTGCAATAGAAAGATTGCACATGTATGCGCGAAGGAATTTTCTAGTAGAGGTAATCAGCGCCCAGTGCTGGCACATTGTTCTGAGCGACTTTACCCTTTCGAATCTAATTGGATCTATGCATTCATATAACGAAAGGCAAAAATTCACATTGGCCGCCCATTCACCCTCTTTGCGACCGTCAGCAGTGCCATCAGTAATCATTTAGAAAAGGATGTGCTTCCCATTTAGGTTTCGCTATTAATCAAATTTGAATCTGCTCATGATTACATGGATTGGACAATTGGCATGCATGGAATACGTATACATTTCATGGATGGAAGTGTTCGTAGAGATGCCGTTTATTTGCCAGAAGTTGCTTACGAACAGGGTATTTCCGTAGTTGTTCTTTCACGCGTTCTATGCTTTCGTGTTCTTTCAGTTCAAACGAAATTTGCAACTATTTAATAAGTTTATCTAAAGGTTGGGACCATTTGGAAACAATAAACAATCTTATCGAAAAAGGTGGATATCGAGGACGTATTGATGAAGGATTTCGGCTCTCGTTGCAAGTGACACGATTTCAGTCTAGCAAAATAATGATCTCTTACGATGTGAGTTCTATTCTTTTTGTTTTGATGGTTCGGCTGGAGCATTTTGTTAAGTTATCACATACAGTGCGTACCAAAAGTATGTGGACACCCTGGAATCGATTCTCAGGAGTCAGCTAAAGGCTTTTGTCATGAAACCTTCACCATTCAACTCCTAGTGGTCGATAACCTACAATGACATTTTCGGCAAAAGATTTCGTTCTAACTTAGCGAACTATTTTTCATGGAAAGTTTTTTCTTTGTATCAAAATTATGTGGACACCCTGAGGCAGATGAAGTTTTTGCATCGATTTCCTAACCTATTTTTACTTCTCCTTTCGTTACTTATTCTGGCATCATTCCTCTTCACGGCAAGCGTTTTTCTGAAGAAGACCGAGCACAGAAATGGGATCCCCATGCTTCTGAACCTTCCTATTGCGAAATAGCACGTCAACCAGTCATGCGTCCTCGTAGGTTTGGAGAGAAATCCGAAATCCTGATGCTAAGCTCTCGACCTTGACTGAGGGTTGTTCTCAATCGCTACTTGTTCAAAACAGGAGAAGAATAGCCTTAATTTTCTCAAATTTTTCTTTTCGTACTACTCAACTTTACGCATAAATGATCTTCCCGATCTTAAAAAAGACCAATCGGTGTCTCATTCAATCAATTGAGCACACGACACGAAAGAAGATGAAGAAGGCTTTGTATATGAATGCGGGTTCAGGTTGGCAAGGTTGGAATTCCCACTCAAAAAAAGGATCACAACATGATACTTTGAACCCACACAGACAGTGCTTTCGTGGAAATGGTAAAATTAGTATAAAAGACTTTCTGTGGAAATTTCTTCATAGACCAACTCGACTGGCAGAAAGAAGCTTATTCCTTACTATTCGGGTGGGTCTTGAGGTTTTTGGAGAGACTTTGGTCGGACCCGCAGATGTGCTCGAAGAGACAATTCGGAAGATGTTCATCAAAGGTCTGGGGTGGTTCCAAAAGGAGGGGACATTGGAGTTTGGCTTGCCAACATGTCAGGTAGACAACTAGGATTATAATGAGGTGCTTGAGTCCCGGCTACAACCTTTTTCGAAAAGTCATGGTCGCAAATCACTTGTTTTGCAGGGGAGGTCCCTGACACCATTCCATTTGGAAAAATGCTAAACGCAACGGCTTTGATTATTAAGTCGGCTAGCGTATCCCTTATGGTTAGAACGCTTCCTTAACACATTGACGACCGCGCGCGTTTTGGCTTTTTTGGCCGTGTGGGACCGGGCCGATTTTGCGAGTGCGACCGCCGCACCTCGGATCCGTGAATTTTTATTGATAACTTTTTAAAGCACCAGTGGTACAAAAACATCTCAGTAACAGTCAATGCGTAGAAGGTAATAGAGTATATAGTGACGAAGTTCCGATTAAAGAACATGTAATGGTAATGAAAAAGGAAATTTTAGTCATTTTATCTGTAGTGGATGCCAAAAGCTCTTTTGATGTGGTTATACCAAGTGAAACATGTATTTTTCTGTCTCTTTAGATTTGCATTTACTTTCACTACCCTTTTTTATTGACGTGTTCATGAGAATAGCATGAAAACTATTAATGAACCAAGCCGCCGGTTTCGGTGAGCTTGGAAAACTTCTTCTAAACTGGAGCATATTTGAACAAACAATGACCTATGTCGTTCACAATAATGTTATGTTCTAATCCATAGAAGAGAGACAAACAATTCGGGAAAAAGCTGCGCATGCCCTAGAAAAAGGGATGATAAGGGTGAGACGCGGTAACGCGTCTCAATGTCCAACGAGGTGCGCAAAGTGAGACGCGTTACCGCGTCTCAATGTCGTCAATGTGTTAATAGAAACCTCGAGGTATCGTGGTTCGCGGTCTCCACTTTCTTTGAAAGAAAGAGTGGTATCACAAGAGACCTAACACGTCGGTGAAATTGAGTTCCCAACACTGTAGGTATCGAGAGTGAGTGGCCCTTAGAAAAATTCCGCGGGAGGGGGACTTTAGATGCAAGTGACCTCACACTCCCTATATCACACCTGCCAACCTGCGTGTCCAAGCAATCGGGTGTGCACCTTTAGTCAGGATTGACCTTTCACACCTCTTCGCTGTCGTTGCCTCACACCCTGCTCTCACTTGCCATTGGATAGACACCGCTTAATTGACTGCGCTGACTGCTGACCTCAACCCTGTAAATTCATCTCATACAGAATATTGTTCGCTCAAGAAGTCATCAACACAAAATTAGTTAAGTAAAGCAGCTGAATTCTAATTTTAGGAATCTGATTTCTAAATTCTAAAGCTCAATATAGTAATTCCCAGCAGACGCAAGAGCGGGGAAAGTGGAAGAAAAACTACCAAGATCTTTCAGATAAGCGACTTCATGAAATAGTTCTAGCTCATAACAAAGCAAAGACTAGATCATTCTAAACCAATTATCCGATTTTTTTGATTCCTTTGAAATTCTGTTGGTCCAATTTGAATCGGAAATGCATTCGACAATGGGGTAACATTAGCGATTTCAGATGTTAGAAACAGAAAATTTGCAAATTCAAATTTATGCAAATTTGATCAATTTGTGAAAGTCAAGGAAGCTAATCGTAAGCCCGTTCGAAAAGCTAAATGTAAGTTCATGGTTCAACAGTGTGTTGTATTGCAACCACGATCGCTTTCTACATCCCATACTGTCTCCTATTGTCCCCTGGTTCAGGTTCAGAAATGATTGCAAGGAGGGGGAAGGTAGTACCTAAAATGAAAATTCCCCAGCGCTCTCCCAACAAGGATAACATTGCGCGCTGAGTCATCTAGGCCTAGTTCCTCCGGAAACGAAACTAATCGTACGCAAGCTTCTCTATAAATTAATTCAAATTCCGCAGCTTATTGGTAAAATGGGGAATGTCGAAAGAAAACTGGAATATGATCATTGAATGTGTAGCACACTGATCTCGTGAATTGATTGAAATTTTCTCTATAAATAATCCCATAGGTAAAAGAAAGAAAAAATGAAAAATATTCACTGAACGTCGTAGCGCACTCTTTTCGTGAATCACTCGTAGTTCAAGAATACGATGGCAATTTTGGAAAGACAAGTGATAGGGGAAAAAGGTATTAGGAAAGCTATGGGCAACGCTGTGATAATTCCTAAATTATCGCAAGGTTAAAAATGGCGTTATACTGGTACTTTGCTCAAGGAAATTCTCCGGCAGAATGAACCCGAATGAGGAAATTAGCACGTTTCCTGTAGCTGAATTTTCAGAGTTGCATTTCCTTTACTCTCATATCTCTGATTTTCTTAAAAAAAGATAGACTTGATAATCAATACTGCGCATGAGAGCGATTTGTTGGAGCGAGGTCAGCGCTCAGCACAGCTAATTAAGCAAGGTCCAGCCGTAGGCAGGTGAGAGGAGTGGATGCGAGGTAACGACGTGGTAGGTGTGAAAGGTCAATCCTGACTAAGTTCCCTCTCCCCCAAGCAATCGCCTGTGCGGTGACCCCGTTAATTGACTGCATTGACTAACTGACCTCGCATTGATACTACATCACATCCCAATTAGAGGTATGCAGAAGATTTTAGAAATAACGAAAATCAACAAAATCGAAAATTAACGGCAACCTAACAAAATCGCAAATCACACCACACGATAATCGAACTAACACTGAAAAAAAAACCGAAAACGTTACGATTTGGTAATTCTTGGCACTATTCAACTATTACAACCCCAAAATCTCAAAATTTTATTTTTCGTCGAAACTTCGCCTATAGGGGTTATTCGATGCCCTGATACGAAAATGACATTCATTTTTGGCGCCATTGGCGCCAATTGGCGCCATTTGGCGCCAGGGCTATTTTCACCAAATTCGCTGTAAACTTGTATACAGGGGTTTTGGGGTCCTGATTACGAATATAACATTCATTTTGCCGCTTGCGCCTATTTGGCGCCTATTTTCGCTCGTCTGCGCCCTCTCACTGATTAGCTCGCGATCAGGACTAAGCCTTTGAGGAGGAGAGTGCTCCGAAGTGAGTAATCACTTCATCCTGTGATCTTATACGCTTCAACATTTGCCACACGTTGCCTGGTTCACCCACCGTAGTCCTCCCTCCTCCTAAGCTCAGTCCGAGGTAATATGTACAAGTGAGAGGAGCCCAAGAAAACGGAAAATATGCGTTGAATAGTGCAAATGCCAAAAACGAATGTCATATCCGTAATCAGGACCCAAATAACCCCTGTATACAAGTTTACAGCGAATTTGGTGAAAACAGCCCTGGCGCCAAACTGGCGCCAATTGGCGCCAGATGGCGCCAACGCCAAAAATGAATGTCATTTTCGTAATCAGGGCATCGAATAACCCCTATAGGCGAAGTTTCGACGAAAAATAAAATTTTGAGATTTTGGGGTTGTAATAGTTGAATAGTGCCAAATTCTTTTTTATTGCTCTAATAAACTGTATGTAGCATCATTTTTGAAGTAAAACTGGAAACCTAGCAAAAAATTGCGCAGTCCACGACACTCATTGGGTGCTTCACTTAATTTTTCACTCTCATTCGAACAACTGGTACACTCATTGAACCAAAGTGTCCATTATAATTTCAACCATTTATAATCTTTCTGGCAGTTAGCTTAGCGATCTCATTGCGATAATACGATTTTGCTACAAAAGTGATCAATTACTGACTCAGTTTTGAACATCGAAAATTCTGGGGCTGTTTGCCAGCTGGGCTGTTCTGCAACAATCTAATAAAAACGGTGTGCGGAGGATGAAATGTACGGGACTACAGTGAAAGCAGCAGCATGTCCCAGTGAAACGAAAATAAAAGCGTTTCTTCGAGAGTTTTTCATTTACCCTTGAAAAATAAATCACGAGCTTGTATGTTGTAGAACAATGTCCAAGCTAGCTATGATAATTTTCAACAAACTTCATAGTAAAAAGTTATGCCATACATTTTATTTCCTGTACCATAGTAATACATAAACACTAGCTGTCTCCTAACTCTCCGTAGGTGAGCTAGTTCAATGTAGATAACCTTTTCAAATGTATTTACGACCTACACA